CCAGCTTGTCGGGGTGCGGGGCCGCCATAAGACGGAGCGGGAGCTGCCTAAACCGGGAACCCGGGCCGCGCCATCATGCCCGCCAGCGGAAGGAGACGGAGGAAGAACGGGAGGAATGACGTCACTTCCGGCTGCTGGGCGCGGCCCGCTCTAGGACTCGAAGTCTTTATGGCGCGCTTCAAACCACCTCTCGCGGGGCTTCGGAGCCAAGAGGGGAGCGTTCTCGGGCCAGGCCGGAAGTGGCGAACTAGAGCCGCGCTTCTCTCCCTCCCTCGTTTTTTACCTCTATGGCGTGCCAAAGGAAGGCCCGTCGGAAAAAAGCGGGGCGGGAGGTACCATTCCCTAAGGGCGGGAGGGGGGGCGGAGAAATTAAAATACCACAGGACCCGATTCTTAAATTTGCCGGTTGTGTTAACGACGCTCGCAATTAGCCCCCAAGGTGTAGCAACACTCAAACTTTTTTCGCTCCATGAGTCTAAGCAGTTAATGTATACTTCCCCCGTTTTCCAAAGTGGGAGAGCCCAAATATGGCCTTCCGCAACGCGACTCCATCTAGCCAATCAGGGGAAAGGAAAGGGCGGTTGTCCAATCAAAACGCCCTATCCTGCGCTAAGGCTCATGGGAACTGTAGGATTAAAAAAGGCGTGCAGAAGAGACAAACCAGGATGAGTTTGTGACCCTTAAATTCATTCTATTATAGAGGCTTGATTGACTGCAGCTCCGTTCATGGCCTGGTAGAGTGACAGAAGCTGGTGGAGAATTGTAATTAGTGGGGTCAGAGAGCTTTGAAGTGCAAACATGAACCAATCATCATTACCTGGACAGAGATCTCAGGTTTTGGCCCCAAAACATAGCTTTTGGGATCCATTCTCCGTCCTGCAAACTTGGGACCTGTCATCACAGGGAGAGTCTGACGCCTGGCCGGTAGCCTCATGCTTTGGCCTTGAGGACAAGCTGCGGGATCACAAATCTGTCATTCTTGTACAGATGAGGCGATTAACTCATGGAGCCTGATCAAAAAGCCTTTGTTTTTAATTCAGGTGCCCAAAGGCGGAGTTGACTCTCTGGATGCAGGTTGTAACAAGAACTCATCAACTGAGATAACACTCCAGGTATCTAACAAAGACACACCTGTCAGTCTTTGTTGTTACAGCTGAGCCATCTCCAAAGCCGTCCAGTCCTCAACAGCCCTGTTCCACTCTTGCAAACGCAACCCTGTGGCTTCCATTATTGAGTTGATCCCTCTCACATTGGGGGTCTTCCTCTTTTCCTGCTGCCTTCCACCTTTCCCAGCAGGATGGTCTTTTTCCAGACAATCCTGCCTTCTCAAGGTGTTGGACAGCTTCAGTTTAAACATGTTTGCCTCCAAAATCTCGTTCGGGCTTCATTGGATCATGGACCCAACTCTTTGTCTTTCTGACCACCCAGGGGATCAGCAAGGTCTTCGCAGGACTGCAAGATGTTTTGTTGGCTTTTTAAGTCACAGTTTCATTTTCAAACAAATGTTTTCCACGTCTTATGAATCAGATCCCATGGACCCAACTCTTTGTCTTTCTGACCATCCAGGGGATCAGCAAGGTCTTCACAGGACCGCAAGATGTTTCGTTGGCTTTTTAAGTCACAGTTCCATTTTCAAACAAATGTTTTCCGTGTCTTATGAATCAGATCCACAAAAGCACTTGGATGCGTTATACCCCGCCTATCTGGCCCACCGGACGCACTTGGATGCATCAATTGTTCTAGAACTACCATTATGTCCAGGAACACGTCACCCAGGCACATATGCTTTCTGGATTGCAGTAACCACAGGACAGGATTTCTGTATCACCCAGCCTGCATCTTTTCCTTTCCTCTTGTTTAATGAAACTGCTTCCTGTATCACCCAGCCTGCATCTTTTCCTTTGCTTACGAGTTTGTCTGCCTTAAAACACAGCCTAGGATCTTGACAGATGAGGCTGATTCTAAGGATTGGCAGATTTCCTTCATTCCATCAGTTTGGAACTTCAATTTTAACTTCCTAAATGTTAAATTCAGCACATATAACAGAAGGGCTTTGCAATGCTGGTACTATCCACCCCCAGAACATCAAGAGGCTGATGGCAGAAAGATCCCCCTCAATTCCTGGTGACCCCACGGCTTCCTTCATCGCACTGGCTTGTTTACCCAGACATTTGACCCCAAGCTACCCATTGCAAACAAAAAGTCACAAAAGAGGAACCAGCCGGACGTGTGGAAGACAGACCGTGATTTGGTTCCTCCGTTCATGGCTTAAACACCAAGCCAGGTTCCCTCCCTGATGCCTTCTAAAAAGCTCTTTACAACATGCTTGTTTCGTCGGGCCTTCCAAAAGGTGCCAAACGAAGACTTGAGCCTTTTATGTCACTGCCACCTCCTTTTATCTTTTAGTAACGGCTTAAATGTTTTAAATGCCTGCATTGTTCTATTATTTAAAGTGCTTGTTTACTTTCTGTTTGGCACTGACTACATTGTATCTTGGTTGTTCTGTTAATGTTTATTCATTGTTAGACACCTGGAGTAAACACTGGGTTAGACGGGTGGTATAAAAAATCAAATAAATAAGTATCATAGCTTATTGCGATGCACAAACACAGTCCCTTCCTCTGTTCTTAATTGTATAGGCTAAAAGTTGAAGACACAAGAGTAATCCCACCCAAAGGCACCTTTTAGATAGCAATGCGGGCCAAACATCTGGGGATCCAGGGGTGATTTTTTCCCAGGATCCAGAGTGTGGTGCAAGGTTCCTCCAGATGAATCAGTCTCTCCTGCGCTCTTTCTATCAATCTCCTTCAGACCAACACAGATTTCCAATGTCAAACAAAACCACCTGCCCAATTTCTTGTTCCAATAAGGTGCGCCGGGAGGCACCTTGTTTTAGAGGAGACTCGCCCACCCCCAGCAGTGCAAGTGTGCTCCTTTCCTAGGGGAAATGGGGGGAGGATACCCCACTCTCCAACGGATGGGTTCCAGGGGCCATGACATTCTCCCCCAAGATACACAGACACCTTTGTGTAGCTCCGGCAGTGCCAACGACCCATTCATGCTGCCTGCTACCTTTCTGTACCATCAAATGTCCATCCATCTGTCGACAGCCGTGCCCTTTTGCCCGCACCCCACTTCCTCACCTGCCCTCCCTCCTCCTCCTCTCGCCGTCCCACACCCTGACCCCCAAGAAGCGTCGGGGCAGCCGCGGGCTAAAGAAATACCAACTTTAATAATAACCGTTTGGTTCCTTTGGTATAATCAAGATAAAAGTCAAAACTGATACAAAGAGAGTGTGTGTGTGTACAGGACGAAGGGAAAGGTGAGGGGGGAACGAAGACCCACGGAGTGGTGGGGCAGGCACAAGTGAGAAGAGGTAACGGAAAGGGCTACACTTTGGCTTCTGGAGGATAACAATGGACATGCAAGAGAAAATTAACAAACTTATGTACAGACCTGGTGAGGAACAGAAAGAGGGATCAGCCTGAGTACTGCAAAGATACACTCGTCCCCCTTCCAGGTTTTCTTCCTTCCCCAGCTCCCTCTTCCCAAATAAACAGCTTTTCCCCAGGCCCCCTTTGGATTGCTCCGGGGAAAAACTCCCTCACAGCTCGCAGGCTCGCTCGAAGGAGAAAACTGAAGCTTGGGGTGCAGCGTCCCAGAACCCCAAGAGGCCTCTTGTGCTGTCGAGACTGTGCTTTGGGGTGTAGGAAGGAGAGGGGAAGAGTAATGGAGGGCTTGGCCCCAATCAAGCCCATTTTCCCCTTCTCCTCCCTGGCCCCCTTTCTTTCCGGCAGGCCGAGCCAGCTGTATTCCTGGGGAACACTTATTTTCGAGGGCAGGCATCCCGGATCGCCGCCTCGGGATGGCTGCTCTCCCAAATCCTGCGCTCCATCCATCTTTGCCAGCAGGCACACAGCCCACCCACCCCCGAAAGGCCAGACAGGACAACGGCGGTTGTGCAGTTCCACGGGACTCGGAAGGAGAGATGCACTCCAGGGCAAGAGGACGGGAGGAAAAACACCGTCCGCCCTCAAAACGTCCAACACTTCAACACCCCACACCAAGCTGGGCTGAGGGCTGAGCAAGGAAATTTGGGCTTTTTAAACTTTTTTTTTTTGCATAAAATCTCAGACCTAGAAAAGGGTCAAGGCACACAGAGTTAATATGTAAAGTGAGTCAGGAGGGCGGAAAGGGGCGAAGGGGCGTATCCGCATTTGGGAGGGTATAGTGGGGGGCTAGCCCTCCTTTCTTTGTGCTTTAAAAAAAAAAGCGGGAGGTTTGGGTGGGAGGAAGAGGCGGCTGCTTCGCCACCCCTGAAAAATAAAGTGGCTCGGGGAGGGGGGGACTTTGGCATTTTGTGGACTCGGCAGGCTTCTGCTATGCAAAGGCAAGACACAGGCCTCCTTTGGGGTTTTGGCTGTGGAGAAAGGGCAGAACGCGGAAGGGTGGCAGCCCCTTGGGTGAGGCCTGTGAAGCCGGGGCGTGTGTGTGTGTGTTCTCGTCTCCCCCGCTGAGAGAAGATGCTATTCTAGGATCCGGAGGCCCCTCGGCAAGGTCTAGCGCCTTGAAGAGCACTGGGCAAAGGAATGGCGGTGGCGGCTGCAGGATGCCCCTAACGGCAGCGGCAAGATGTGCAAAGGATACGTGCGTGAGTGGGATTAGGGGCCAGGTTGAAGGAGAAAAGGGGGTTCCTTCTCCCTACCCAAAAATACCGGCGGATCCCCAATCCAGGCGAGTGAGGCACCCTCTGGCAGGGACCGAGGCTGCCTATGACAGGGCTCTGGGTGAATGCCCAGTGGAGACACTTGGGGCCCCTTGACTGACTACAATTCCCATCATTCTTCAAGCCCCGGGCGAGGTCCGCTAGATCCTGTCCCCAGCCTCACTAATCCCTGCTGAGCGGGTGGGTGGCACAGATGAGTACATGGGTATGGGGGGGGTGAGAGTGACAAGACCGCACATGGCACACAGCTGGCACAGCAGCTGAATCCTTCAAGGCAAGGGAAGCCACAGAGGAGGAGCAGCAGCAGCAGCGAGAGGGAGGGAGGCCGGGAGGAGGTCCGCTAGATCCTGTCCCCAGCCTCACTAATCCCTGCTGAGCGGGTGGGTGGCACAGATGAGTACATGGGTATGGGGGGGGTGAGAGTGACAAGACCGCACATGGCACACAGCTGGCACAGCAGCTGAATCCTTCAAGGCAAGGGAAGCCACAGAGGAGGAGCAGCAGCAGCAGCGAGAGGGAGGGAGGCCGGGAGGGAGGGAGGTTCAAGGCAAGGGAAGCCACAGAGGAGGAGGAGCAGCAGCAGCAGCAGCGAGAGGGAGGGATGGAGGGAGGCCGGGAGGAGGGAGGGGAAAGCTGAGAGGTGCCCCCCCCCGCATCCAAACCCCCAGCCCTGTTTCTCACAACCTCCGCTCCACGGGCTGCTGTAGGCACAGCTCGCTGCCCGCCGAGATGATGGGCAACCGATTGTCCATGTGGTAGCTGACGAGGTGACTGACGCTTTCGAAGCGGTGATCCTTTGTCCGCACCTGCCAGACAGAAGAGAGGCTGAGGCCGAAGGCTTGCTCTGGGATCCGGACACCCACACCTCCCCCGCTCTATGGCACCAAGAGGTACAGTTGGACCCCTGTATCTGCAGAGGATTGGCTCCAACCCCCACCCCCAGGATGCTGAAAAACGCGGATGACAGCAAGCACTAATATCATAACAAACGCTATACATGGCATGATCTCTGACTCCCTTTAGGGACCAGTTCTGTATGATTAGAACTATGGATTTGTAGGACTTTTCTTTTAATATTTCTAATTTCTAAGTGAATCCGTGGATACTGATCCCGCCGATAAGGGGATCTTACTGTATTCTTTACATGTTTATAAGCCCCAGACTCTAAGCCTCCCCATTGCTTGGGTGTAACCTAGTCAGTACAGGCCAGTGTGTGATAAGTAGGGTTCCTTCAGTGTTTCCTAAAGAACTAGGGATCATAGTTCTTCGGGAGGTGCCTTCTATCGCCCCTAATGGGCAGAGAAACTACGACTCCCAGGAAGAACAAGCTTCCCTTTTTAAAAGAAAAGCAAAGGCCTCAGAAGCTGAAACCCCTACTCCCCCGCCATGGCTTCTACTATCTAGGGCTGATGGGAGTTGGAGTCTAGCAGCATCTGGAGATCTACCCCTCTGCCACCCACTTAAAAGCCAGGGCAGGGAAGACGCTGTCTCCCGCCGCGCGCCCACACGCCGCAAGCAAGACTCACCACGCCTTCGGGATCGACCAGTAGCAGATGCTTGGGCTGACCTCTCTGCAGGCCGGTCAGCACGTACTGGCCCGGCGTGGTGGTGCTCTCGCGCACGAGGAAGTCCCCGTTGCTCTGAAGCAGCCTCTCGGCCTCTTTGCGGCTCATCCGGCCGTGGTACCAGGGTTCCCGGCTGAGCTGCTCCTCCATGGAGGCCAGCAGCTGGGCGGGCGGGACAGGGGGCGGCCCGCGCAAGGCGTCCTCAAAAGGCTCTGGGGAGGAGATGGAGAAAGGAGGCGGGCGAGCCGTGAGACGGGGAAACGGGCCAACTGCCCGCCCCCAAGTCAATGGCTTTGGGGGACCTCTGACATCCCCAGCCATCCCCCAAAAGCTTTCAGGAGCAGCTGCCTGGGTGGGGAAATGGGGTTTACCAAGTCTTTCTCAAACCATGAAAACAGCAACTTAAGCAATCCAGAAGTTGAGTCCTGGAAAATCGGGGTGGCTCTTTCTTCAAATCTTGAGAGGATCTAATGCAACCTCGAGGGATTTCAGAGGCAGAAAATGGCCTCCAGAGTCTCCCAACGTGACTCAAACTTTCACGTGACTGATTTGGCCTTCTTTTCGGCAACAGTGAGGTCTAGAAGCATGGGGAAGGGTTTCGGTGGAACCGGTTCGCTCATCTTGGGCCTTCGCTTCCTCGCCCAAGTGGAAGGTGTGTGAATGAGGCCATGCCAGGCTGCCGGCCGACGGGACTGTCAGAGCATTTCCGGATCCCGTTTTTGCCACTTACTCATGTCAAACAGATCTTTCTGGGCGCTACCGTTGGCGTTGGCCCCGGGACCGCCCTGCCATGTCTTCTCCAGGTTCTGCACGTTGACGTAGGAGGGGTCATCAAAGAGATCCGTACGGCCGGGAGGGCATCGCTCCCTCCCTGGAAGGAAAGGACAATCTTAAGTTTGCCTTGGAATCCCCGATCAGCCATTCAGAATCACTTCTAACCAACGACAGCCACCGTGACAGCAGGAGGGAAGTTGAGATAGTAAAAACCCGGCAATACAGAGCCAGCCCTGCGGGGAAGGGCAGAACCAGCTAGTGATGTAGACCCTCCACGAAGGGAAGCTGCATGGAACCTCCAGATTCAGAAACAGTCTACCTGCAAAACAGCAGAATTCGGCCCGCGACCCCAGCTGCAGAGGGCTGCTTCAGCAGCTCGTGGGTAAGGGGCAGGTACCTTGCAGAGCCGCGTGCGGTTTCCGGGCTTCGTAGTCCCCAGCAGACATCTGTCCGACGGGCTGCAAGGCGAAAGATGGGACGTGAGTCCAAGGTAAAGATGGGACGCGATCTGGCAGCCCAAGGGCTGGTTTTCCTTTTCAGGAGAGCTTTCTGGAGGGGGCCTTCTGCAGGATCGCACGGCCCGCGGCAAAAAGGCAAGGCCTCGAACCCCCGACTGCAGCTTAAAACCCTTGCTGTCAGGAAACTAAGCCCAAGGAGATCCTCTGAGGATAGAGAGGTGTAACAAAAGCTGGGGTACAAAATGATGCCGTTGCGGAGAAGGGAAGCAGGGCCCTCTGGGGAATCCAGGTTGGGAGTCAAAGAAGGCTGGATTCAACTCAGGGGGGGGGCTGAGGTTCCTCTTAAGTCAGCAATGAGCAAAGCACAAGACTTCAAGGTCGCGCTTTGTTTTATCTCCCTCTCTTGGGGGGGGAAGAGAGGCAAACAGCAGCTACGGGAAACCTCTGGGAGCGCTGATTCGATTTTAAAAACAGGTCAGAGAACCTCTTTCTCCCCTTTTAAGCAACGGTTCGCAAACCGAAATGAAACGGAAGCCATTTTTCTTCTTTTCCGTTGGTGGCGTTTCTGACGGCCCGTGTGGTCCCCGGAGGGTCTCCTGGTCCGGAAAAATGTTCCTTCCAAATTCTAGACACCAGAGCAGCCCCTTCCCCTTCTCTATACCCCAGACCTCCATCGTAACCTTAAAAAAAAACCTCAGGTCCGTGCCCGGACCGCCTCTCTTTCCTTCCACCCGAGCGGGACAAACAATCTTAAAGGATGTGATCACGGTCCAGAATCAAGAGCCCGGATCCTCCTAGATAGGAAGGGACGGGGGAGCGGCGGAAATGTCCGAGAAGCTGCCCCTCCTGCTTACCAAGGTGGCTCCCAGATGGTTGGGCGTGGGGGCCGCGGGGGCTCCGTCCCGCAGGCGCATGTCGACCACGCCGCCCAGGGGGGGCTCCTTCCCGGGAAAGTCGTTGTAGTACTGGTGGTCGGGCGGGGGGTCCTCCTCTTCGTCCCACGCGGAGCCGTCAAAGCCGGCCATCCTGGAGAGGGCGGAGAGGAGAGGGAGAGTCAACAGGGAGCCCGAGGAGGAGGTCAGGCGGGTGCCGCTCACCCACCGAGGGCACCTGGTCTGGGTTTTTTCCCAGGGAAACGTGTCAGAGGCCTCCGGGAAGCGAACAAGCCAGCCCACGCAAGGAAAAGCGTCGGGGCAGAGGCAGCGAGGAGGGGGGGAAAACCCGCCAGGGAGAGGATCATTTATTTAAAATATTTTCTACCCCGACTTTCTCCTTTACAAGGACTCAGGGCGGCTTGCATCGTGAAAGCGATGACATTCAAAAGCTAGAAACGGTAAGCACGCAAATATTTTAAAAAGGAGTCAAACAAGTACTGTATTAAAAATGGGAAATAAAATCTGTACCAGAAGACATCCAAAACAACAGACCACAACAATGCATTAAAAAAAAAACCCATCATTGTGGCCGTGTGCCACTGAGTCACTTCTAGCCCATGGCGACCATCTCCGAAATGCCCTGCCCTCAACGGCCCTGTTCGGCTCTGGCAAACGCCAGCTTGTGGCTTCTTGTGGGGAGTCCGTCCCTCTCGTATTGGGTCTCCCTCTTTTCCTGCTGTCTTCCCCCTTTCCCAGCCTGAGAAGTCCGTCTCGGGGAATCCTGCCTTCTCAGGAGATGCCCAAAGTAGGGCAGGCAGGAATTGCTCAGTGGGGCAGGTGGAAAGAAGTGGGGGAAAAAAGACATGGAGGGCAGAGGATCTGTTAGGAAAATTGAGAGATGGGGGTCAGGAAATTAAAGGGAGGTGGGCGGAGAAAAGGACGCTTCAGGTGACCGAAGGGGCTTGGGTTCCAACGCTTAACTTAATCCATTTGGTTTCTCACGGCCATCACCAACCGGGAGGAGAGAGAGGGGAAAACAGGGAGCGAGAGGAGCATCTTACCTGTCATGCGGAGTGACCAGCTTGGGTGGGTTCTTGAGGTACTGCTTGAAGCGCAATTCAAACGCCTGCCCGATGGTGCTGATCACGTCCTGGGCCAGCCCCTCAGGACACTCCAGGATGTGGCAGGCTGCAGGGAAGGAGGCACTGTCAGAGAGATGGACCAGACCGCTGCTGGTCCCATCGTCTCCGGCTTTTTGTGCTGGGTGTTTCTGCGCCCGAGGAAGAGACTAGGTTCCTAAACTAGGCCGTCTGTGGGTTCATCGGGGAGAAGGACACAGGACAGGCTGTGCTGTTCTGCCAGACACCTGCCTCTAGGCTGCCCCACCGCTGCCTCCTTATAGAAGTTTTCAAAATAAAGAAGATCATGGCAGCTTAAACAGAGATACTTCCAGTGCTGCAATCTTCTGTTGCAGCGCTTGCCTGCAGATCATAGCCCTGCACGTTACACACCTTTTCTGTATAAATTTCAGCAGGGAAGGGGGAAAAGAACCATCGGAAACATAAACAGGGAGAACTCAAAGAAAAGGAAGGCGCCTTTTCTCCATGTTTCAGAGATCCAGAGAAAAGCTGGCGGAAGACTTTATTAAGAATTTGCACAGCGCCCAAGAAAACAAAGCCGGAGGAGGGGCTTCTGGTTTCTGTTCCGGCAGGATTAAATCCAGGGCTCCATAATATCTAGTCCATGGCAAGAAAGCCCGGCGCGTCATACCTCTGTGATTGACGGGGTCTTTGGCAACGTAGGCGACGTACTCCGCTGTGTCCTAGACAGAATGAGAGATGGTGTGAATGCTGGATTTGAACACTCGGCTTCGAGAGAGAAGGCACCGGGTCCAAGGACACACGATATGTCCCTAACTCTGCAGGGCGGAGGGGGGGGAGTGGGAATCTGGAGCCCTTTGGTTGGGAACCGGGGGGGGGGGGGGGGAC